TTCTTCCTCAATGAAACCAATAAATTTGATAAAGGGTACTTTTCGAAACTTTATCATTCATTTAGAATTTATCCAACTATCCCCAATTAGCGATTTTTGAAATAAACACATCTTGCGAGATTACCCCAGACATATTCTATCGGGTTGAGAGCTGAAAAACATGCTGGCCAGTCAAAGACATCAGCATGACATTCCTCCAAACACTCCTTTGTACGTCTGCTCACATGGATTCTAAAATTATCCTGTTGGAAAACCATTGGTTACGTGAGAAACCCTTAAATATGGAATGAGACGACTATTCAGAGCCTAAATATACTCTTCACTGTTCATTCGGTTCGAAATCATGACGGAGCCACCTCCAAAGTCTGTCCTTGAAAAAAACATAGGATCCTTTCTCAAATCATGCTAATAAGTATCAAACCCATCAGGACCATCCAGGTTAAATTTCTTCCCATGAGAAAATATGACCTGTTAGGGTAATAATTTATAAATATACTGTAAGCCAAAAGACGATGATTCAAACGCGCGTATGTGAGATCGGTCGCAGTATGTCTTTCGGCAAAATCAAGTCGAACAACCTTGTGGCGACTTAGCAACATGGGCGCATTGGTCAGTTTAGAGCTCTATAGGATTCCTGAGCTCTTAAGTACTCGCCAAAAAGTCATCGCTGACATAGATTCGCCCACATGTGAGGCCAAAGCTGTACAAGCGGTTGTGCTGTTGCTGGCTTTCTTAATAATTTTGCGTTTATCGTGCGAAATTAGTAACGGTTTTCACTCAGTACATTTTCTTGATCCTTATTCTTCGGGGATTATCCAAAAAAAATTGAATTACAATTGGACTTCTTTTCAAAATTCGTAATATACTCGAAATAGACTCTCCTGACTCGAAAGGTGAGAAAATACGGTCCTTTTCATAATAAGATAATTGTTTTCCAAACGGCATCTCTTAAAAACTTTCTAAATTTACTTAATTATAATGTCTGTAAAGCAAAAAGTATGTTCCGCACTTAATAAACTCAAATTTGCGACAGTGGGCTATAGTTATGATACACAAAAATGCAAGCAAAAATGCTAGCACAGAGCAAAAGTTCTTTCTTAGTTTAGCCTACAAAGTGCTGTAAAATTTATTTTTGAAAAGCCTCAAAAATATTGTTGAAACTGGCTCAAAGTTTAAGTGGCTGGGTGGGCTATTATTATGATAAGCACTGTATATACTTTATGCGCCTGCCACGCCACCATCTGCCTGTTATTGACATTTTAATTTCCCACTCTCAATGGGTTTAGAGTATAAATAATATAGATCAGTTTTACTCGATGTGCCACGCCGCAATACCGAAAAAAACATTTTTCGATTTGTACGTCCCTATTGGCCTATTGGGTAAATATTGACATCACTACTTAATAATCAAAATTTTAAATCTCTAGCTTCAATAACATAGGGACACATTTGCATTTATACAGCAAGACGAACAAGAGCAATAAAAACAAGTAAGAACGTTGCAGTCGGGCGTTACCGACTGCGGAATACTCATTCACATCCCATCAACAATTTAGTAGTTAAGTTTCGCTCTAATACTGTAGAATATACAGGTTTTTCCGATTTGCCACGCCCCAACTGGGCGTAGACACCTCATTTTTGGTCAGTTTTTAGAAAGAGATAACGGTACCCTAACTGCAAAGTTTGAATGCTTACCCTCAAAAACTGTGAAAATTACAGGGTATTTTTCGATATGCCACGCCCCTAAAGAGGCGTAAAAATTATTTTTAGGGAATCGATAGAGGAGGCTACCAGTAACTCAACTATCCAAATTTAAAGCTTCTAGCTATTATACTTTAGGAGATATAAACTTTTGTGGTTTGCCACGCTCCCTGTGGGCGGACATATATCCGACAAAACTTTTTGGTCTTGGGTGATCAGTCCGAGTATATATACAAAATTTGAGGTCTCTGCCATCAATAGTGTCCAAAATATAGGAGAATTTAAAAAATCACTATATCTTCAGGTCCGATTTGCCACGCCCGCAATGGGCGAAGATATATCCGCCATAGCTCGTGATCTTGGGTGGTCGACGCGGACCTACATACCAAATTTCAGCTTTCTAGCTCTTCAACAAACATGATTTCTGGTATATCGGAAAATGCATTTTCCGATTTGCCACGCCCCTAGTGGGCGGATCGGGAAAATTTTAACACTTTATAAATCGGAGATATACACGAGTATGTGTTCCAAATTTCAAGTCTCTAGCTTCAATAGCGCCGAAATAGATTGCGTTCATACGGACAGACGGACGGACAGACGGACGGACAGCAAGACGGACATTGCACAAAACCAATATACTGATCCACTTTCGTGAATGAGTATAAAAAGCGGAATCCTTCTGGAACGTAACTATCGCGTTATACGATACTTTATGGGGTCTGCGATGATTCATTCTGCCTGTTACATATTTTTTGCAAAACCATTATACCCTGATTTCCCATTTTCAATGAGTTCAGGGAATAACAAACTAACGAACTTTTCAGCTTGACACCCGCATTTTCACTCAAACTTTTTCGACTCACTCACTCAGTTAACGTATTCTTCATTTGAATGGTTTTTTCGGCATTCATTCCGACCTCCTATACATATTTTTAACTTTCGTCCCGGGGGACGAAAATCTGTAATTGTTTAAAGTTACACTTTTAATTTGTTTATTGCATTAATAATCAATAATACATTTTTAATTTAAAACAAAATAATAGGAAAAGTAATCGCTATTTGAAAAAAAAATAACTTGATTTTCGATTATATACACGAACATGGGAAGATAAATTTTGAAATCCCTATCTTCTGAGATCGACTCGTTCATATATACGGACATTTGCACAGGGCAAAATCGCTCAAGTTGATAAAAAAAATATACATACACTCCCCGAAATCCAATTAAAGGCACTCAGCTTTCCTGTTTTTTTTTCTTTTTTGAGTATTATGCATGATGGAATACTTTTTTTTTTCTTATCGCATATTTCTATTAGTTATATGACATACACAATAATTTTTTTTATATATTTTGTAAACAAAAAAATTTTAATGTAAGAAAAACAAAAATGTTCTCAAAAAAAGCGCGAAATTCAATTAAAGGCACTTAGTGTTAACATATCAAAAAATCGAAAACAAAGTTAATGATAATAATGAGTCCATCCCCCAGATTTATGAATTACTTCAAAAACCCAAAAGCCCCTGGCAAGGTTCCTCCCCACATGTTTTCAATAGGACTTAAGTCCGGATATCGAGCAGGCCAACACATTGAGGTAATTTTCATCTCCTGAAACCTGGTTCGACTATACTATGAAATATGTATAGCCGCATTATCCTGTTGGAAAATTAAAATCCATGACGGTTCTTTATCCAAAAAAATCCACAAGAATGTTCTCCAATAAATGTATATAGCCTTGAAAATTCAAACACCAGGATACTTTGCGTATTGGAGTTCGATAGTGGTAGCTAAATGCAGCCCATACCATCAATGATCCGCCACCAAAGTTTCGATTTGTGGAGTATCGCTTAGGCTGCCGAATGTCATGCTAGTAATAATTAAAACCATCAGGCCCATCTAAATTGAATTTTTTCGCATCTGAGAAAATCTTTCTTTTTCAGTTTTCCGACCAGGACATGTGTTGCTTCACAAATTGTATTTTTTTTTTATGATTACAACATTATTTACAGGAGTTGGCGAACGATTCAATTTCGTGAAATTTCTCGGTTAGACCAACCCACATCCTTGTATTCTTGGATTTTTGCCATTTTTTCGTTTGTCAGCATCTCTCCTTTTCCCATTTCAATATAAATTGATAAACACAGTCTAAAACCCAACTAAATGTTTAAAAATAGTATATTTAATAAATTTTTTAGCAAAAACCACAGTTCAAATACTTTACTGACCTCTTTCCAAGACCCAAGACGGAATGACTTTAATTGAATTTCGCGCTTTTTTTTTTTTAATTTTTGATTTTCATATTTTAAAATCTTGTTGTTTACAAAATATATAAAAATATTTTTGTGTATGTCTAATAGATAAAGCAATAAGAAAAAAAAGTATTCCATCATACAGTCGGGCATTACCGACGGCGGAATACTCATTCACATCCCATCAACAATTTAGTAGTTAAGTTTCGGTCTAATCCTGTAGAAAATACATTTTTTTTCCGATTTGCCACGCCCCTACTGGGCGTAGACACCTCATTTTTTGCCAGTTCTTAGACCGTGATAACGGTACTCTAACTACAAAGTTTGAATGCTTACCCTCAAAAAATGTGAAAATTACAGGGTACTTTTCGATATGCCACGCCCCTAAAGAGGCGTAAAAATTATTTTTGGAATCAGGAATACCTCTCCTTGGCCGTTCTTGATAAGTCTAATCTACGTTTTACTTTTGCGTAGGCCTACACATTCTCTATAATCAAATAAGAGGACACCAAAAATAACTTAAAAAATAAAAATATGTATTTTTGAATCCAAGCAAATTACCGAAAATGAATTTGAAAGGGAATGTCAAAATACTTTTGTCCACCCAAATAATGATAATCCGCCATGCAAATAATTATAGAAAAATAATGAGTCATGTCATCAATGCAATATTTTTGTCACTTAAAGCCTAGTATGTCTGCCCTCTCTAAAAAATATAATGGGTACCGTTAGCTCTCTCAGCGCGCAGATATAAGCGGTTATAGCTTTTGCACTGTGTTAAAATACTTTTGTCCTCCATTGTATATACTTTATGCATCCTATTACATAGAGTTAACAAAATCATTTCCCGTCAATGGGTTCAGGGCATAAAAAAAACGACGCATGAAACTATCTATTTGAATTTTTATAAAATTTTTAATCTATGACATTCATTCATAAATACGAAAAGGACTAGATTAACTCAACTCGTCGTGCTGATATATATAATTCATAGGCTCTACCATGCTTCCTGCCTTTTACATACATTTTAAATAATAAAAAAGTGCACTTACCGTTGTGACCAGCTCCAAGCAAACAAACTGCAATGTTTCGATGTTGTCTACAAAAAACGGCTCGATTGCAAGCGTTGATAACGGTAGAACAATGGTATCAACAAATATACATTTGTCAAAGAGTGTCACGAATACCTTTAAAAGCTCAACAACTTTAGAATAACAAAGTTGTAAGTTCCTATGGTGACTTTGATGGGATTTAGCTTTTTTGCGTTGACAAGTTTTCTTAACACTTTTTACAGTATAGACAGGATCGTGTAAGGGAAATATAGTTTCACGTAGTTGGAATTGAGCAAATTTAATTATGTGTGATATATTATCTTCTTGCAAAAACTTTAAGTCGCTCACTGTTGAATAAATATTGCATATGAGTAAGCACGCATCCATTGCGTTTAATATTTTTTCTATAACTTCGTCATCAACTATATCATCTTCGTCTTCCTACAAAACAAATAAATAGGTCTATGGGTTATGGTCATTAAAATATTTATAAAAACACATACCTGTCCAGCAGAATAATTTCTGGCTAAATAAACGTTTCGCATGGCGTAGTTGATAAGAAGAGTCAGTTTGTTTTTTGGTATCGAATCCAATGCTTGCTTAGCTTTTAACTTTGCCACATCATCACTCATTGTGTTCAGAAGTTTTGGCGGAATGCACTCTATATTATCATCTACATCTTCTGTAAATATATACAAATTATAAATTTTGAGAAAGAAAAATCAAGACCAAATACTTTGGACTATTTTAAATTGTTAAATTATTTGTTACCTGTATCGAAGTTTGGGGATTCCGTATCATCTAGCATTTCAATAATCTGCTCCATATTTTTCATAAACTGTTGGTATGTCTGGGAGCGGATGACTTCTTCTTTTATTCCTTTTGGTGTTGGCAGGGTCATTATGCGTTCAACTCGACGCAGCTTGGGTTTCGAATCTATAAATTTATTAAAATGAAAAATGTCATGAATTCTATGAACTGTAAATAATAATGTTCAATGTATGCTTACATATTTGCTCTGGAGGGATATCTCCGAGGGAAATGGCCAATTTTCTTTTAGTTCCAGTGCGTTTCTCATCAGCTTTAATAACAGCAAACATATCTGCGGTTGATGGTGCAGAACTCGCAACTGTAGACTCAGTCTTCGGAATACCAGATGTCCCAGATGAATTGAAATTCGCAGCCAATGACAGATATTCATTAACAGGATGCTTGCTAGTTGTTTCTTGAAGTAACCCAATATTTCTAGCCATTTCTGGTGACTTTTGTACAAACTTTTTAATACTCTGTTGCATGAGACGAGCATCCTCAACGTTAAGACGATTTATACATACCCGAACCTGGGACTTGCCGCTTGAAGATGTGGATGCTGAGGTGGCAGTTGATGTAAGATTTGTACATTGGTTAAAGTCGTTTACAAATGTACTATTATTTGCCACAATTATTAGCGACTTTGATGGTGAAGGAGGTTTGCTGTATTGTTGCTGGACGACCCCTCCATCGGCGATCTGCTGTCTTTGTAGGTTCAATACATTTTGAAAATTTCCTTGAATTGTCAATGTAGTTGTTGACGGAGTTTGAAATGTGTTCTGATGTAATTGGTGATGGTCGATAGATGAGTTTGTGGTTTTGCTTTTTGGTAGACCAATGGGATTTTGATGTTGGTATTGATGATAGTACGCTTGGAGTTGCTCTCCATGATGATTGGCATTTAATGATTGAATTCGGGATGTCTGTTCCTCCTGTATTACTATATTTTCTCTAGAAACTATGGATTCAAGCTGACCTCTACTTGATGTAGAATCACGTTGATCAGGTAAGTTGCTTTTATCTACAGTACTGAAAATAAAAAATAAAAAAAGGACACCGATTTAATTCGAAATCTTCATCTATTTCCATAAAAAGTATAAATTATTTTATTTGTGTCAACCAAAGAATTTAACTGATTGCGATTCTAGAAGCTTAATTTGTAGTATTCAGATTAGAGATTTGATTACCTACATTTACTTGATATAGTTACAAATTTTATTTTTATTTTAAACGAATTTCTTTCTCACCTGATTGACTGATGAACATATTCTTTGAGATGAGGATGCTGATAGCTAGCATTAAAATTGTATGCCTCTTGACAAATATCGTTTACATTATTAACAAGGCCCGTTTGCTTGGAATGCGTTGGATGCTTGTTCTGTAAGTGTTCCGTGAGGTGTTGCTCAACCGTGTGATCATTTATTGCTAAAAAGAAATGTAGATTTGATTGCTTTTGTAAATAGTTCTTATTGGACATTAAATTACCGTTTCGCCGTGGAGTGTTGAATACAGTTGGGCGATAGTTGTAAATACCCTGCAGTAGTTCAGGATATGTACTAATATTAGCACCATGTTGATGTATGGCATATTGAGGCTTAAGTTCTCTGTAATGAAATAATATAATTTATAGTTTATGTACTTCAAACGTGAATTATACTTACATATTGTCCGAATTCGTTTGCTCAATGGCATTTACCAACTGTCTTACTAGATTTTCATCACGGACTGACAGAAGATTATTAGATTCGTTGGCCACTAACGAATGGAACAGGAGCGATTTATTAAAAGATGCAGCGCTCTGTAGACAATCGGATACAGGCAGCTCGCTGAGCACTACATTATAAATTTAAAAACATTATGAAATTGAAAAAAAAAAAAAAAATTTTAATCCGAAATTTACTTACAATCAGAAGTGCTGGTTAGACCAGCTAATGTTGTGACGGGAACACTTGGGATGTCACGGTCCCCCATTATCGAGAGAAAGACAATAATTGTTCTTCAATTTATCAGAAAATACACGGAATATTTATAAATGATCGATCGTATGTAGCTGTAAAATGATGATGAGTGAATTACATCTTTTTTATCTTCAACTTTCAAAATAAATCAAAAGACATTTGTCTAATCTATATATGATATTATACATATGTATATATATGATTTTGTATAATGAATCTCTTCATATGTGCTTGTAAGAGAAAGTAGTAGTGATACACAACTCGATTATTGTAAGTAGTAGGGATATGAGTATATGTAGATTCGACATCAATCTACTGTGCACTTCGTACACTTTGTGCTCACAAAGAAGCCATGTATTATTTTCTCATATGTAACAGTGCTAATACACACCAAAAATACACAGCATAGCAAAAACCTAGTACACTTTTAAAATTGATTTTGAATTAGGGGCACTGAGAAAAAATAACTAATTTAATTTATATGGCAATTATTTATCTTAAAATTCGTTTATAAACTACACAAATTCTAGCTGATATTGACCGTTTATAGTATACTAGAAATAGTTTGTTTTATTTATTAATTCCCTCCAGCAATTCCCATAGCCAATATGGCTGACACACACGTTCAAATGCTATTTGCTACAAAATTTTTGTATTGAGTTTTGCACAAAAATGCTTTTTTATGGCATAGAATCTATGCGTGAATCTCAACAATTCGAATCAAGGTATCGGCGACAAGTTAAATAGTTAATTAAGTGTGATTTCATGACTGATTATATAATATAACTATATAATATAAAGTATTTATTTATTGGTTATATAGAGGACTATATCACTTAACAGAGAATAAATAGACCGGACACGTAGTGTAAAGCTTTTTGCACACTTTTTTTTGAGCATTACCCCAGACAACTCCGTATTTTCTCGACTCTTCACTTTTACGTTCGGGTTACGCAAAAATTTGAAAGCACAATCATTTCGCTTCATGGTCGAGATGGTCGACTGTCGAACAAAAGATGCCTCTATACTCATTTTTTTGACTAACTAAAGTAAGAAGTGCACTTCCCATTACTTTAATAGGTATTTTTGAATTGCATGATTTTTATGACATTTAACAGATGCTTCAAAATGACCAGTATATGTCAAAGTCAGTGCGCTGCAAGAGCTCAAACGAAATGGTCCCATTCTTATATGAAGCACGGCTATGCGCTATTTGTCCTACTCTCTCTCTCACTCTATCTCTCTCTATGGTCTCTCATAGCAGCAGCGCACAGAAATTGAAAATAGTTCGCGACGATCCCAGCTCTTTTCTTTTGAGTGAAGGGTATACCTAAATCATAAAAGCGGTTGTCACGCTCATGCAAACAAAATGTAAGCGTTTCGATGGTTATTCGGGGGAAGGGTATGAAAGCGTTGATGCGCATAAAGAATGTGATTTCGCGACGAGCAAGTACACACACACTTGCAGTCTTTGGAAACATGTGTGAGCATTTGTGGCCTGTGTGCGTAACATTTGCTGCCTGAGCAAATTGTAATGCCCAAAATTTATCGTTGCTCGGTCTTGTGAGTGAGCACATAAATTTTCATACATATGTGTATGTATGTATGAGATGGGATGATAATTGTCTCGCGATTTACTAGCTTCAGTGCTCTAGCTGTAAAACTCTTGGAGATACAGTTTTATCCGATTTGCCACGCCCCCAATGGGTCGATGCGGATCTATATTCCAAATTTCAGCTTTCTAGCTCTTTAAATGAATTTTCCGATTTACCACGCCCCTAGTGGGCGGATCGGGAAAATTTCATCACTTTATAAATCGGAGATGTATAGCTTCAATAGCGCCGAAATAGATTGCGTTCATGCGGACAGACGGACGGACAGCAAGACGGACATTGCACAAAACCAATATACTAATTCACTTTCGTGAATGAGTATAAAAAACATTCTAAAAGGCAAACACACGATCACTGAAATAAAATCAAAATATAAACGCGATCCTGCAAATCGAACCTAAAATCGTTCACACAATTCTAAATTGAGGTAATGTTCATCTCCCATGCATACAAACAAAGACATACATACACACGCACATGTAAAGGCACAGAGACATACAAATACTTCTACAAGTTATATCCCATAATTGAGAGCATCGCATCCCATGCGTACACACAATCAAATGTATAATTATATGTATGTGAGCACTTCACAAGATCGACCAAATGCAAATGCTGGGCTTTAAAATTGCTGCAGGCAGCAAGAACTTTGCACACAGGCATGCAAATGCTCATAGTACATGTAGCATACTGTAAGTGTGTGTGTGTGTGCATGCTCGACACGAAAACATTTTCATTATGCGCGCAAACGCTTTCATACTCTTCCCACAAATAATAACGAAAACGCATGGCAAACGGTTTGAAAAGATCGGTATACTCTTCACACAGAAGGCATGGGCTCTCGCTGCGAAGAAATTTCAATTTTTGTGAGCTGCTGCTTGTGCTCACAATGTGAGCCTCACATGCATACATACATGTACACATTTGAGAGAGCAGAGAGCATCGAGAGAGAGAGAGAGCAAGGGAAACATTGAGCATAGAGGGATCTTTTGTTCAACATTTGACCATCTCTGTCGAGCGCATGAAGCGAAATGATTGTGCTTTCGTATACTTTAGTAACCCAAACCTAAAAGTGAGGAGCCGAGCGAATACGAAGTTCTCTGGGGTGTTAACGCTCGGAAAAAAGTGTGCAAAACGCTTTACACTACGTGTCCGGTCTATGTGTTCTCTGGTTAGTGCTTATATGCATTTTATACAATTTCGATTTTTGTCAAAATTTACCCCCACCTCTAATTCACCTCCTCACCCTCACATATGTAAAAGGCGTATTTCAAATACTTGTGCTTTGGGTAATACATGCATATCTATGTTATATTCATAATTTGAAAGTTTCATGAAGATAGTCCATCCACAAGAAAAGTTACTAAACAATTAAGTTCCCATGGTAAGCCAACAATGCAGCCTATGCGTGTTTATGCGTGCGTACGTATGCCTGTGTGTGTGCGTGTAAGTGTGCATATGCGAATAATTATTGAAATATCAGTTGCTCGAAGGGTTCAGGGGATCTCGTAGTCGGGCAGTCTCGACTACAGCTTTCTTACTTGTTACGTTCTATCAAAATTGCGAATTTAGCAACAGGAGCAACTCTCGATTTTTGTGCAGACATAATATAAACACGACGTTATTCCTTGACTTTTTCAGAAAAACAGAACTTGCAAATGAGTGTCACTTGCAAGCAATGCAAATGAAAACACGTGTAGACATTAAAGCTATATATTGCACGAAATAGCCATGCAAAAGTTTCCGTGCAAAACAAAAATTGATTGAAGCAAGTAATTTGCATGCAATATTTGCATTGGTGTGAACATTTCTGCAAACTTTTCCTGCAAATTATTTTTAACTTGCTGCAAATTGTTTGCATCGTGTGTACCTAGCTTAAGATTTCGGTATACCCTTACTCAAAAGGAAAGAGCTGGGATCAATGCGAACAATTTTCAATTTTTATGCGGTACTGCTATTTGAGAGACCATAGAGAGAGAGAGCATAAAGAGAGGGAGAGAGTGAGTGAGGGAAAAAGAGCGCATAACTGAACTTCATTTGATTTTGTCGTGCCTTATTTTCACTGCTTGAGCCTCAAAAGACCGAGCCGAACGTGTGTTCTCTGTTTAGTGGTTATAAATATAAATATTCTCTATCTGGTATGTATGAATCATCCTAATTTTATTTTTAATAACAAAAAATTAATAGTTTAATTAACAGATGCTATTAAAACCGAAGGGTGGACCAAAAGAGGTACATCACAACTATTAGGAACTGCTTTCGGGCTCAGAAAGGTCGGCTGGCGAAGCAAAAATTTGACCACAAAACAATAAATTAATATGTAGTTATGTAAATATAGACTGAATGAATTTAAATTTTAAGAACGAAAATAATATTTAGCTAATACAACATAATAAACTATAATTATTATCAATTTAAATAAAAACGAGAAAACTCTAGTCGAGACTGCTCGACTAGGAGATAATCTAATATTCTTATCACTCTGCACTTCCTTCCGGCAACATACATACAAACGAACGTATTTGAACGCGATCTGCTAATTGCGCAGTAAGCAGCGACTACACTTGGGCTGCGCTGCAGTGTTGGCAACATTATACGAATTTATTTGTTGAATAATTTAATTTCTAGACGTACAATCTTAATGAAAGTTTCAGAACATAATCATAATTCAAATGTATGTATATTCCAAAGCACAAGTCTCTAGTACTTGGAATACGCCTTTTACAAAGGTGAGGGTGAGGGGGTGGATATCCCTTGTGGGGGGTAAATTACAAAATCGAAATTATTTAAAATACATATAAGTCTACATTTAAAATTTGGAAGCTCCAACTCTAAAGGTGTAGGAGATATAATTAAATAATTAGCTTTCGATAAGGTTTTTGATCGATAATAAAATATCGGGAGTAGTTATCGATATATAGAGAAAAACTTGATATGTGCGTGATATACATACAAGTATGTGCGTGATATACATAGCTCTTATATCTTCTGAGATCGACGCGTTCATACATACGGACGGACGGACGGACGGACAGACAGACGGACAGGGCCAAATCGACTTAGCTCGTCGCCCTGATCAAGAATATATATACTTTGTGGGGTCTGCCACGCCTCCTTCTGCCTGTTACATACTTTTAACAAAACCATTATACCCTGATTTCCCATTTTCAATGGGCTCAGGGTATAAAAATGTCGCATTACTGAATCGTTTATATATTGTGAAGAATCACATTTCTCCCTGACCCCGAAAACTTTCCCCTTGTAGTAGAGCTAAGTAATATCACTAACCAGAGAACACATAGACTAGACATCTAGAACAAATTTTTTCACCGACGAAAAAATGCGCTGAGGAGACTACACATCTTCGTATTTGCTCGGCTCAGTCTCTTGAGGCTCAAGCATTGAAAATAAGGCAAGACAAAATCAGTGTGCTGCGACTGCTGCCACGAAATGCACGCATTACTAAATGAAGCACGGCTATGCGCTCTTTTTCCCTTACTCACTCTCTCCCTCTCTTTATGCTCTCTCTCTCTCTCTATATGGTCTCTCAAATAGCAGCAGCGCACAGAAATTGAATATTGTTCGCAACGATCCCAGCTCTTTCCTCTTGAGTGAAGGGTATACCGAAATCATAAAAGCATTTGTCACGCTCATGCAAACAAAATGTAAGCGTTTCGATGGTTATTCGTGGGAAGGGTATGAAAGCGTTGATACGCATAAACAATATTATTTCGCGACGGGCAAGTACACACACATTTGTAGTCCCTTGCTACATGTATGAGCATTTGTGACCTGCGTGCGTTACTCTTGCTGCTTATAGCAATTTTAAAGCCCAGCATTTGCATTTGGTCGGTCTTACGGACTTTCATAACCACTTTAAACAGATGTACTATGTATGAACATACATACATACATATGTACATAAGTACATTTATATAGTATTGTTGCTAATCATGTTTATAACCGCCTTATTCATGGTATAGGGTAGCAGCATGATGACAATGCGAACAAGGACAGA